TATATGATTGGTAGATAGAGTTATGCAAGCTGTCGAATAGTGAAATTTGTAAGAAAATGTCTACATTAATGGTTAATGATTGGATGGTTTTTATCTTAAAATTGAGTTGGAAAAAGTGGAAGATTACATTGCTTTAAGAAACTCCATTTATCTCTCTCTCTCTCTCTCTCTCTCTCTCACACACACACATACACACACACACACACTCATTTTGGCCAAATCTGTGTTAACATTTGTCAGCAATATGCACAGGTTGGTGGTATGGTGTGGTAGGTCACCTTGATACATGCGATGGGAACACGAATTACTGCCGATGTCACGAAAGTGGTAAGTTGCCGGAATGTCTTCCACTAATGCTCGTCTAATATTTGCTACTTCATAAAATTTAATGCTCAAATTTGTGACTAAAAAGTGAATAGACAAATAAAAAGATCCACTAAAAACTAGACATGGGTCTTGAAGTTACTCTTAGTATGGGGGACCTCAGCCACTTATGTCTGATGCAATTGCATAGAAAAAAAGATGGTAATGCATTTCATCATAACAACATATTTTCCATATGCTTTGTGGGCCTTTTCTTGACCCCCACTTTTCCTGCATGTGGGCTCTTGCCCCTTGTGCATATAATTTAGTCATTAAAGAAAAAGTCATCCTCAAATTTTGTCATGTTCTCTTCTTATGCAAGTCATAAGTGCTACTTGTCGGGGGGGTTCTTTGTAATTTTCAAAGATAACTTGGTTTCGTAATTAGACTAAGCCCCACGGGTAGTTTTTCGTAGTTATCCCACTTTCTTCCACTTAACGAACCCGTGTTATCTTCTCTTGACGTGTTTTTCCTTTGCATCCGTGTTGGTATTTGATCGTCATATTATATACCGTGGAAGTTGGCGTGCACGTGTTTCTCATGTTTGTACTCTGTATTGAGGATTTGACTATTGTTACTGGTTTTATTGACTTGTGTTGTCTACTTCACATTTGTAAAAAGTAAACACTACTTAAAATTAGTCAAAAGTTGGTTTGTTTTTTTCATATCATATCACTTTTACTTTGTCCAGCCATTAGATTTCAATCGTTTAGAGTTTCTCCAAACATACATGATAACAAAAAACGAAAGCGATTCGAGCATTTAGCCAAAAGTCGAGCTGAGAATCATCTCTCTCTCTCCCTCTCTCATTTAATTTTGCTTATCGAAGCTCTCTAGATGCATATACTTATTTTAAGCTTAATTTTGCATGATACTGTATTAGTATTTCCCTGTTTATTTTCGATCCAAGAAAGGATTTTTTGTAACAGTGGGAACTCGTTGGTGTGCAGAGACAGTGGTTGTAGAGTTCAAGCAGTACAGCCGTGGGTCCCGTTGGAGAACGACAATTGTCAATAGGACAGAGCACCGGGAGGAGGGTACCGAGACCGATGGATTTTACGGAGGACTCCGGAAAATTTGTGGTGATGAAGAGATCTCTGCATGGAAAAGGCTATGGCCATCTCAAATACTGGAATAGGGGGAAATTAATACACAGTATTAATTACTATTGTTATTTTTTTTAGCTCCAAGCTCTATTGATAGGGCTGTGTAGCAAATGATGTATATGGACTCTGTTGGTCTTTAAGTAGATTCAAGATAGAAATAATCTATGAGAAAATTATGTAAGATGTGTGTTCACCCTTCCCTGGAGATGCGCAGTGATGAAATTAAATAAATTTGATTACCAAAATTCTGCTCACAAGGTTGATAATTTCAGCACTTTATCTGCACATCAATTTGTTATAAAGCAGATAAAAAAAAATTGCATTATCCCTTTGGTGTAGAATAAGAGTCTTATTATTATTATTATTATTATTATTATTATTATTATTATTATTATTATTATTATTATTATTATTATTATTATTATTATTTGTTTTTATTTATCTTGGCTGGGTGGACAAGTCAAGGAGTAGAGTTTATGAGAGCTTTTTAAAGGATTCTCTCTTTTGTTATCTTCAGTTGAAGTTGATTTTGAATTAAATAAGATATTGTTGAGTTTTACGTGTTTTACGAGAAAGTATCTCGTTTACTCATTTATCCTTCCCACTCGTACGCTTTTCCTACATCAGTTAGTATCAGCAGTCAGTACGATTCGTGATGTCGCCGGGACGACAAGATGCCGCAAAGGAACAACGTGATGCAATATTCTACGATCGGTTTCAACAGCTTGACTACCGATTTGAAGAATTGGACGTGCGTTTCACGGATTGGTTTGCCAATCTTTCGATGGGGATCGAAGATTTGCATTCGACGCTTAACAATGTGGTTGTTTCGGAATTACAAACGAACCGCGATAGAGCTGTGGGCCGTGGCTTTCGCGGGGGAGACAAAGGCGGTTGTGGGGGACGCAGTCATTTCGGGGCCCCCCGGCAGCGGTTCCCACCACCTCTGAACGACATCGAGAATGGCGACTTTACCTGGTCGGCTAACCCGTTGGCAGATCGACCACCATGGCGAGGAGACGAAAACCCAGGTCAGCCCCGTGTTCGAGAGCAGCGGCAGGCTGGAGGTCGTTTCGTACATGGCGGCGATCGCGACGACGAAGAAACCCTAGGTGCGGTTCGATTTTGCATCCGACGACGGACGGAGGAGTGTTTTGTTTACCAATTTTCGCATCCATATTTTGGGCCTGAACAGCTACAAGCAGGCTCTGACTTCGATGAGGCCCCTGGTTTCTTCCATCGTCGCGCAACCGCAGGTTTCGACGACCGGCAGGGGCATCGTTGCACGGGAAGCGATTCGTCGGAGTTCGAGTAGTGTGCGGTATCTATGACGATCCCCCACTGGGGCCAGCGGAAGAAGACAGAAAGAAGAATTCAAGACAGATAAAGTTGAAGATATGGGATGATTATGTTGCGGGAGTGGAAGTTTTAGTGGTTCGGGTTCAGTAGCATCAGCTGAAAGAAGACGGAAAGAAGAAATCAAGGTTGTGGTCACGGAAGTTCTGGAAGATGGTTTGTTGAATTTTCTTGTTGTTAGGTCCTTTAATGTTGTCTTAGAGGGTGATATCATTAGGGTGCGACATTCAACTTTTGTGTTCGACAGGGGACAACAACGGGGGATTACTACCATGGATTCGACTTCACACACCGGTCACGGGATCGCGTCGGCTCGAAGCCTTCCAAACCGGGGGAGAATGTTGTAGATTATTATTATTATTATTATTATTATTATTATTATTATTATTATTATTATTATTATTATTATTATTATTATTATTATTATTATTATTATTATTATTTGTTTTTATTTATCTTGGTTTTGTGGACAAGTCAAGGAGTAGAGTTTATGAGAGCCTTTTAAAGGACTCTCCCTCTTCTGTTATCTTCAGTTGAAGTTGATTTTGAATGAAACAAGATATTGTTGAGTTTTACGTGTCTTACGAGAGAGTCTCGTTTACTCGTTTATCTTTCTCACTCGTACATTTTTCCTACATCACCCTGTCAACATAATGTTTTATGAACTCCATAAGCAACCCAAGGGGTATAATGACAAAACCTCGCTACATATTTAAGAATTGCAACTCATGTAGCACAAAAATTGATATATTTAAAATACAGAAAAAAAATATTTATCAAAATATATATTATATTTTTCTAACCAGAAAATAATATAAAATTATATAAAAAAATATATTAAAATATTAAATATACTTTTATTATATTAAATAATAAAATATATAATTATTTAAGTTAATTCGATCCACAATTATACCTATTAAAACTGGTTTCCGAATACACATAATTTACCTGAGATCGTATAAAGTAGTGCACTTCGTAAAACAACATGTTACACTTTAAAAAATAACATGTTGCACTTTATAAAACAAATTGTTGCACTGTATAAAACAACAAGCTACACTTTATCACCGCACTCCACAATCGACGTCAATAAATACCGCCAGAACTACTACACAACATAAATCTATATTTTTTAATATCCATCACTTCATCTAGCTACAAAAAAAAAAAAAAA